AGATTAGGTTAGTCATATGATCTAAATTTCGTATTTTAGAAATGTATATCATTATTCTGGAAAAATAGCGGTCTTAGAAAAAAAGTCTATATAACATAAAAGATGTATTTTTTCAAAACCTACAATTTTTATCTGAAACATTTTTCTCATAAATCTATACTAATCGAAATAATATGAAAATTGCCACGAGTTATTACAAATCGTTTTCACATTTCAATCAAAATTTTCATTAATACATTTGTAATCGGTGGGTCTAAATACATAGATATACGAAGTGTTAAATCAATTGGAGGTATGTGCTTTTCAGAACTATATCCATGAAATAGTCTAAATATTGGAAAAAGAATGCCCAATGGTGTGTCTTCAGGATCAAAGTTCCCCATCTTTCTCGTTTCCGACACCCACTTTCTTCGAACGTGGATGTTAAACAATTAAAGGTAATTCCAGAATAAAAGATAAATCCTCGTTTTATCACAGTGTACGAAATGGTCTAAATATTGAAAAAAAGGTCCATTGGTCTGGGTTTTAAGGAATTTTCTAAGGAAGTGCCGAAAGTAGAGGGAAATCCACAATGGCTTCCTGCGTGCAGGGGAGGACGGAACAGGACTTCGTGGATAAATCCTCGAGCCTTTCCCATTTGTTCCACCGGTCCCATTGTTGGCAAGGGTTTCCTTCGTCCCTTGGCTCGGATCCTGAGGGAATGCCAAGAGGAGAGCGACAAAGGGCGCTTTTCCACTATCGACAGGGCTGATTCGGCGAAGTGGAAAAACCGCCATGCTTCTTTTGGGTCGACGCATGTTCGCGACTCGAAAGGGTGGCCCGGTTTCCCAGGATGGGTGAAAAGGAACCCACGGATCGATAATTTCTTGTATTTCGAGTGTTTCCTTTCCTCCTTTCCTTTGGACAAGTTCTCTCCCTTCAGATATTTCCTATCCACGTCTGGTCGAATTCTCGAGGGCTAGCGTAAAGTTGACATGGAATCTCCGCGTTGCGGATTTTGTCTAAAACGGTTTCTCTCTCTTTCTTTTTGTGCATGAATTCTTTTCATCTTTTCCTTCAAGTATTCCCTATTCCTATCTGGATGAATTTTCAATAGAAATCGAAAAACTGACGTTGAATTTCCGCGATGCAGGTTACTTCTAAAACGGTTTTCCTCCCTTCCTTCTCGTGGATAAATTATTTTCCTTTAGGCATTTCCTTTTCGTATCTGCATGAATTTCTAAGGGAAAGCAAAAAATCTGAATTGAACCTCCACGTCCTGAATTTTTTCTAAGAAAGTTCTCTTTTCCCATATAATTGAGTTGGATCCCTTAATCGAAATCGACAATTTCTCGTACTTCGTTTTCTTTTATGTACTTTCTCTCTATTTTTGCGAACGAATTGCGAGCGTTGCAGGTTTTCGCTATTTGTTTCTTCTATAGCATCGGTCTTTGATCCTTGCTTTCCCAGGATAACTGAAAAAGAGGCCTCAATTGAGCTCTGCAATTTTTCATACTTCGTTTCCTTTCACGTACATGCCTGAAATACCAGTCTGTGGATGAATTCTCACAGAACCGCAAAGGTTCTACGAAAAATCGAAATTAGATGCCAGCGTCGCAGGTTTTCGCTATTTGTTTCTTCTATAGCATCGGTCTTTGATCTTTGCTTTCCCAGGATAACTGAAAAAGAGGCCTCAATTGAGCTCTGCAATTTTTCATACTTCGTTTCCTTTCACGTACATGCCTGAAATACCAGCCTGTGGATGACTTCTCGCAGAATCGTAAAGGATCGACGAAAAATCGAAATTGGACAGCAGCGTCGCAGGTTTTCGCTATTTGTTTCTTCTATAGCATCGGTCTTTGATCCTTGCTTTCCCAGGATAATTGAAAAGGAGTCCTCAATTGGGCTCTGCAATTTTTCATACTCGTTTCCTTTCACGTACATGCCTGAAATACCAGTCTGTTGATGAATTCTCGCAGAACCGCAAAGAATCGTCGAAAAATCGAAATTGGACGGCAGCGTCGCAGGTTTTTGCTATTTGTTTCTTCGGTAGCATCGGTTGTAGAGGATTCCCAGGTCGCAGGAGGCGGATCCTGCGGGAATGCCAAGATGAAAGCGACAAAGAGCGTTCCGAAGATCGACAGAGCCGAGTCGACGTAGCGTAAAAACCGCCATGCTTCTTCTAGAGCGACGCGTACGCACGACTCGCAACGGTGTCCTGGTTTCCCCGGACAAATGAAAAGGAAGGACCACCAGGATCGGGGAGGAACGGTCCGGGCCGTAAAAGGATGGAACCTGGAAGTCGATCCCGTTCTCGGAGCAGCCTCGAGGGGAAAAGGATGCTCTTCCCTCGGGATACCCACGGGAGAGAGCTAGTCCCGCCATTTATCCCGGCTCCCCTGCCCTTCGTCAGGGCCTTCGGAATCGCCTTCGTAAAACTCGCCGTAAAACTCTATGAAAGAATATCAAATGAACGACTCCTTCGGCCACTTCGCGAACTCATATACTCCCGGCAGTTCCGCTTCCGAGCCAGGGACCCGGTAAAAATATTTTAATAACTCTTTCGCGATAAACGACCAGAAATTCCCCTCCCTTCTTCCGGATTCCCCAAAACTCGGGAGTATCCTCCGCGGCTAAGGACTTCATCCGGGGATGCTTTTATTGTTATTAACAACCACGGAACTTTTTCATCCCACCCTTACAGCCTCGTCATCCCACGGTTCCCTTAAAACTCGCCCTTTGGCGTGAAAAGTCACCCCCTTTGACGTATCTCGTACAGGAGGAATATCCTAAAAACCAAGAAAAATGGAGAGGATGTAAGAGGAGCCTCGCGGGAAATTTTAATATTAAACGAGATACTTTTCCGAGGGATTTTCCAAATTCTGGGAGATAGGTAACGGGTTAAGATTCGTATATTCGGAAATGAAGACAATACCCAGGGTCCGGCTTACTCGCCGTCATGCAGCCCAGAACTTTTGGACATTTTTACGTTCAAGTAGCTATACATATGGATGGGGACCCACCGTAATATGCATTCCATCCGGTCGGGACTCTCATATTTACATATGTATTTACAGGGAGTGCTCTCGAGTGTGACACGCGTACACAGTGCTACTCCTGTTCCTTCGGTATGCACTCGCGCACTCGTGCACTTGCATTTCTTATTTTGCGCATCCCGCCGTGTATCCCTGGTCAGAGAAAATCTTCCCAGAGCGGAGGGAAAAATCGGAAAATTCTGGGATTTCCCCGAGATATATCAAATATTCGCTTGGAAATTTCATGATATATGTTTATGGAAGGTTGCGATTTATTTCGAAGTTTTTCAGCTGACGGAAATTTAGGCGTTTCGTGGACGTCTTAACGACGTTCCAATGGCTTATGGACATCTATGGGATATCGTTTGCTTTATGGGCTCGCTTACGGGGAGAGACTGTATCGTAGTGTAAATGTGTATGTGCTTACGATTACAAAAGATTACGCGTATGCTCGTATAACCCTCTTTGTGCATTATCCCCTGTGTCCGCGCATGTGCATCTCCGCACGCATCGATGTTCCCTTCAATGTGTAAGTGTACACGCGCAATCAATCGTCCGTAAAATTACTCCAAGCTTAGTGGCATAATTCGCACACACATCACGACCTAATTTCGCACCGGTTCGAAACCATCCCCCGAACGGCGAAGAGCCCGAAGGTGTTAAATCGGATCCTGCTGCAGAGTTCATGGGGCATAAATTTTCCGACATCGGAACGCGACAATTATTGCCAAATTCGACACTTTATATGCCGATCCTTTGTAGTAATTGTTTTTCATCACGATCACGATCTAATTTCCGTCGGTCGAGGTTGCTCTTAAATGGCATTGAATTTAGAATTGTTAAATCGGAACCTATTGTAAAGTTTATGGTATATAAATTTTGCGGCATCGGGAGGCGTCACTTAATTACCGAATTTGACACTTTACATTATATTCAGATTTTTTTTTTTAATAATACACAGACACATCATGATCTAATTTGCATCCATTCGAAATCGCTCGCAGAGCGAACGCAGAGTTTATGATGCATTTAGTTTGCGAAATCGAAACACGCAAATTAATCGCCACATTTGATACTTTACATTACATTTCGATTATTTGTAGCAATTCACAGACGCATCATAATCGAATTAGCATCGGTCGGAATCGCTCTCGATTGGCGTGAAGTTTGTAATTGTTAAATCGGATCATATTACAGACTTCATGGTGCATAAATTTTGCGGCATCGAGACGCGACAGTTAATTGACACGTTTGATACTTGACATCATCCTGATTTTTTTTTTAACGATTCACAAACCTACTACGATCTAATTTGCGTCGATTTTTGTAATTACTCACCTCACGCCATGTCCCGTTGGTGAATTCAAGTCGATCTCGCAACATCTCCTACCGATCCTCTCTTTCTATGCTTGCAATTCATATACGTGCAGCGTGTGTATAATTACATATATACAAAATTCATAAATCCATCGCGGTCTAATTTGCACCGATTCGAAATCGCTCTTGAATGTCGCGAGTCCGGAACTGTTAAATCGGATCCTGCTGCAGAGTTCATGGTGCATAAATTCTGCAGCATCAAAACGCGCTAATTAATTTCCACTCTTGACACCGTACATCATCCCGCTTTAATACGAGATTTTCTGCGGAGTGCAATTACTTAGCCCGCAAAATTCGGTCGATCATCGGTCGAGCAACTTTGCCTGTTAACATTTGAGAAATGAATATTCGGGTCTCCTCTTACCAAGTCGATTGAAAGTTTGCGCAGAGGGATGCATCTTTATCTGCATTTCGGACAGGCGAGGCGGCTCGATCGACGCATCCTCGTCGACAAGACGGAGCTCGGGAATAAGTATCCCGGTCGTAAAGTGCAGCCATTTTATCGCTACATAAATTCGGGAAATACATAAACGCGGGCGTGCTCGTAACGACCCCGCGAGCTCGGTCCCTCGAGTCCCACGGCCTCACCCGATTCTTCCTTTGTTTCAGATAAGGGTGTAAATTTCGCCAGTAATAACGCGGGTGAGTGTTACCTCTGACAATTTATCGCACGTCCGTCTCCACGTGGTCGCACACCGACGCGCCCCGTCGAGCATCTCGACTGGCCGTGACATTGGAGAGTTAGAGGGATGCCAGATAGTCGGAGGGGTGGCGAGCGAAAAGGGGTGAAACCCCCCAAAAGAAGGAAAATAGATATCGGTGAAAAAGGTCGGAGAAAGAGTCCCAAGTGATTACATCCCGCGCGAGTCAGACACCGCGTGATAAGGGTGGTGTTCGCCCCCGGTATCTCGGCATGCGAACAACCCCTAAAATTATGCAAAGGACCCTTCGACCTCCCTTTCCAGAAGGAAGCGCAGGTAGAACGTAGGATTCCCAGGGTTCTTAGTCGCCCGAAAGATCCTCCTTCGGAAGGAAAGGAGGGAAGACGGATTCGCGAGAGAAAGAGGGGTGATAAAGGGGTTAGTAAGGAGGAAGGAGAATGGGACAAATGGGCGGGAGAGAAAGACGGCCCCGGGGGTTGGTGCGAGGGTCCCCGGGGAAAATATTCCGGCAAATTTCCCCGATTTCCCGGCCTTCCGGGCGGTAATTTACCGCGGGGGATGTTTCCGTCACGATTTGCCAGGGGCGGAAGGGGGTGGGCATTCTTTCGGGAATCTTTCCGGGATTTCGTAGGGATCTGGGGGTGGGTCCGCGACGCGAGGAGGGTGCGGGGGTGGCTCGCGTGGCTCAGGGCTGTACCGAGATAAGGGTGGCAAATTGCCGGCAATCTGGCTGATTAGGCTCCCCGGGAATAATCCCGGATCTCGATTTCCGTACCACGGCCCGCGGAGTATTAGACGAAGAAAAGAGGACCGCCCCTCCAGGGGGTGGTCGGAAAGGATGACGCAAAGGGGGGCTATTTCTACGTTAAGGCGCTTCCTTAGGGAAAACTCGAGCTCGGAGATACCCCTCGAGGACAAGTGCTGGGCGACTTTCTTATTGCCATGTTTTTCAACCCTTTTTTGAGAACCTTGTTGCATATCCCTCGTCTCTAAAATTCCCGAGTACGTATAAGAAAGTCAACATTCGTTATAAATTCTCGCGATTTTTTGAAGCACGAAATTGTCGGGGCATTTTCATAACGCGAAAATCCAATTCCCCCCTTAATCTTTATATTGAATAATCGCATGACGTAGTAGTAGTATTAAGGTGATGTGAAAGTGTGTTAAAGAGGTCTCGTTTATAAAACTTTTCTCCCAATTAGGTGTACGGAATCGTTTCAAACGTCATAATACGAATATGGAGGCCATAAGTTTCTGACAACCATGAAATTTCAATTTTTTTAAATGTGTCATAGACATCTGACAATTTTTTTATAAAAAATGAAATTCCATGCGCGTCAGAACCTTCTTTATGACCTCCATATTCATGTTGTAAAGTTTGAAACGATTCGGTACCCCCAGTTAGGCGAAAAGTCTCATTAACGATTGATCCTTCAGATGCCACTTTCATGAGTTCTTAATGACCAGTTTCAGGAGATTTGCTTTTCTGAGGGTAGGAAACCAGAGGAACTTCTGAAATTATTAAGATTTTAGTTCGAGATCTAATGAGTAATTTCCTGTAAACGGGAGTTAGGGAGAAATCGCTTTCGAAAAAGCGGTCTCTTAGAGATTCATGACAGCGCAGATTTTCGAGGCCATGGATCCTCGCCTTAAGAAAATCCATCATGGAAGCTCGAGCTTGCGGAGCGAAGGTTCTCGGATTCTCCCGAGAGGGAAGTATTTGAATGAGGCAAACTGAGCGATTCGAAAAAGGTATTTGCTGCTCCGACGGAATCCCGTGATATCTGGAAATGAGAGCCAAGCAGAATCCATCCATCCATTCATCCACGTGGTCACATACACGCGCGCTCGCGTCCTATGGAAATCAAAAGCTCGACGAGGTTAAAACCGAACTGGAGGAACCTCGGAAGAAGAAAGGAAGAAAGATCCCGCGATCAACCGAGTTAAATTTAATGATCGAGACACGCTCATCTGTGAGAAATCTTTTGACACACGCGAACCATGAGACTGGATCAAAGAGATTAACAGAAGCAATTAAATAACTGCACGGTGAATACGAAAAACTCATACTCTTGTGCATATAAAAATATATAATGGATATTATATTAATTCATTGAACATTCGTTGGAACTTTTATTCAGACGGGATATACTAAAATAATGCACGCATAGATTTATTTAATATACACGCTCTTCAGTTTTACAAGTTTAAATACTGTTCAATGAAACGTCACAACATGCGCAATGATTAAAATCATCGTATTAAAATGTCTTACTTGAACGTGATTACATAGACTGAAGTTACCCGAAGCTTGGGAAATCAATTTTACCAATGCCGAGTCACGAGGAAAATAAAAAATAGAAAAAGGAAAGCACACGGTCATTACAATTTGGTGGATTTACATTACGGGATTTTATTCTTACGCCTGTAATTCCGATTTAATACTAAATGCGTACGCTTCATTTAACTGATGTACATTTTTAATCGAATTGCACTTATGATGGAACTCGTTCGGCTAGAAATTTCATGAGGATCCGCCGAAATTATGTATTTTATGAATGCGTGGGAAGATGGGAGAGCAGAAAAGGCACTTGACGACAATGTCGACAATTTCGGCGTTTCCATTAAACCCGTGGTATGCACACATACGAGCCGATATCCCGGCAGAGGGAAATTACAAAGCCGTCCTCGTATCACGGAAGTCATTACGCATCGAGTAATTATCGGGTCACTTTTCCGTGGGGCGATCGATGAACGCGCCATTTTCTCGGGGATACGTCAGAGCCCTCGTTTCCCCGAAAGGGGAAAAGGCAAGAGAAACAAAACCGAGAGAAATATCCCCCGTGGAAATTCCAGTGGGCTACGACAGAGAGGTAACGCGGAATTCGAAAACTACGGACTATCGCACGCGGAAACGTAGAAAGGGGAGCGCCAAGTGCTCCGCGACAAACGCGATAATTATCCGCCTTTTTTAATTGCATACGTGCAATTAATGCACCCCGCTCTTCGCGATTGTGCGACTTCCCAGTCGCGTATTATACGATTTCATAATAATTCCGTTTCTCCGGCGAGAATGTACACGCAAGAAAAAGTCTCGTTCATTTACCAAAATCGTTTGGCTACCTGCATTCGGTTAATTTTATAAAACGTTCCGCTCGGGTAAACCGAATTTCAGCTCACTTGACCAAACTTGAAGCTTCAATCAATTAAACTGTATTGATTAATTCGTTTTACAAAATATTTCACTGGATAAACGAGATATTTTTATTAAATGCACCAAATTACTTCAATATCTGGCATGGCCTACCATAGTCTTTCACGTGACCGACAGAAAATTATTAATCCAAGAATTTAGTCATGTCAATCAAACATTTGATTGTTCATGTAACAACCATATTGTATGGTTGAACCAACGATAACTTTGTTCATTCAACGAAATATTTTTCTGCGAGTATCGACGATTGCAAGAGTATGAACGCGTCGTTAAGAAAAGGGGTTCAATTATTGGAACATTCATGATTTTTCACATTGAACTTACTATATGAAAAATCTTTCTTTATATTTAAAGAAGAAACAAAAACTATATCGTGGAGGTTATGGTAGCGAATTAGTATCGTTTGAAGATTTCGGAGAGAATATCGAGGAAGCCATTTTGTTTTTCAATTTTCACTTCACCCCCGGCATCAAGGTCTCCCCGGCAACGCTAATAGGGCGACTTTTCCGCAGGGCGGCCGGCGTTTTCCGCGGCGGAAACGTAAGTGTCTCGTTTTCACGGACAAAGAGGAAAACAGGGGAGGCCGAAGGGGCGGAAATATCGGTTCTCATGAAAATTCGAAGCATCGCGACTCTCGTTTACAACTAACGGGCTGATGTATACGTGCGATGAAACAGATATCCCCGCACCCCAGAAAAAGCCGGGAGAAGCGAGGGTGGAAAATAAGAGGATAAAACGGGGCAAAAAGAAAAAGGAAAAGTAAAACGAGGGGTGGGGGAGAGGTTAAAAATGGAAACGAAACGTTGTAACAAAGCTCGACGTCCGTGCCCCTCCAGAAAACTTTCGACCCACCCCCTTTTCCCACCCCGGGACGACCCCCCGCGGACGTGCGGCCTCGTCGCGCTTACCTCGTCCTCGAAAGCAATGCGTTTAAATTATTTATAATGGGTCTGCTTTTTCAATTTACATTGCAAAATGCCCTGGCCAAACAAGGTGGGGGGTGACGGTGGGTGGCGCACCCCGAGAGAGAGAGAGAGAGAACGAGACCCCCGCCCGGGCAGAGAGAAAGAGACCGAGAGACTTCCGTCGTGATGGATTAACACTTTGTGCTCTCGCTAAAGAAAATCGCTGGTAAAGTCTCTCTTTTTCCGAAGATTGCAGAGGCACGTCTTTTTATAGCTTTTTCTGCCTCCTGTGTTTTTCCCGCCCCCCTTCCCTTCCTCCCACTTTCTCGAGGATGTGAAGCGATTGCGTCTGCATTGTGGGGGAAGCGATTTCTTTGAAATGCCGGCTCCAAAAGCCAAGTGAGGCTCTTTGTTAGTTGGCACTGGGGTAATGATCGCAGGCTGACGTGAGTCCTCTCTCCTCTTTTTTCCTTCTCTTCTTTTTTTAATTAATTTCCTCGTCTTCGTGAGTGTTGAGACGAAATGAGGTTTCCAGTCGGCTGGCGCGAAAGAGGGGGATGATCGCGCTGGAAATCTTGGCTTTTGTTTGATTGGAAAAACTCTCTGATTCGGAGAGACAAGAGAGTCGAAGTCGAGACATTTTGGCGGGGTAGATAAGGGTGGTGGAGGCGCGAGTTGGGGTGGGATTTTTTCACGATTTTGATAAGAGGATTCATTTTAATTATCCGCGAGGAGGAAGGCTAATGGTTAATGCTTTTGGGGGAACTGTGCAGTCTTTATCAGATTTATAACCCGCGTGATAACGTTTCAGTGGACTCGCCATTAAATTCGCCTGGCGAATTTTCGGAATAAAATATTTCC